TTATGGCATCAGAGACCAAGTCAAGGTAATTGGCAATAAGTTTCTGAATAATGTAGAAGTTAGTGCCCAGGAAGCTGCATATATCATACTGCAACTTCCTATGAGAAAAGCATCGAGGGAAGTTGTGTTTATTAACACATATCCTCCGTGTGAAAGGGTATATCTGTTGAAATCGCAAGATCAACTAGATAACCTTGGTGATGAAGGTGAAAATATCCAATCAAGTAATTATCTAGAAAGGTATAAAAACCGTTGAAAACATGCTTTTAAAGGGCTCACACACAATGCTGCACGTGATTATTGGGTTTTTCATGTGCATCTTGTGCAATTTTTTTTTCTGCACACGGGCCGATATTTTTTTTTGTGTTTGGGAGCATTATGTGAAACAATAGTTCATAGTATTGCATAATATTATACATACAAAACCACCTAGTAATAAAATATTTGGGAAAAAAAAGTGATGCGTTTTCCATGGAGCTCAGCAAATTAAGCAATATGATGCGAATAGGGATGCTGTATATGCAGCTGTTCTTGCTGAAGGCCAGAATTTGGAAGATGCCTGGGATCAACAGGCACCTGTTACCCAGGAAGTTGAATAGGATGATGAAATAGAAGAAATGTTAGATATAAAGAATGATTCTGAAAGTGGTAAGCCTACCAAATACTAGTATGATATTGGTATGGATCTGGGACTTCCCACTGAAAGTAATGTTGAACAGGTGGCACTGTATGAAATGCCCGATTATAAATACAGATCTCTGATGAGGTCATTGAATCAGAAACAGCTATATTTTGTATATGATACCTTGAATGAAATAAAACTGTCACAGAATCAGGTTTTCAGTTGCGGAGCTGGTGTAGGCAAAAGTTTTGTAACAACTGCTTTGTATCAAAGTGTGTTGAGGTATTACAAAACTAAAGCAGGTGATGATTTTGAAACTATTAAGCAAATATTGTTAGCGCCAACGCCGTTTACAACATCAATGGTAGTACTCTCCACAGCGCTCTTAAAATCCCTGTGTGTCAGTCATTGCAATAAAAAAAGCTTTGATGGTAGCAGATTAAATACGTTAAGAAGTAGCCTTGGAGGTTTGAAAGTTGTCTTTATTGATGATATATCCATGGTAGGAAGTGGAATGATGAATTTTGTCAATAAAAGATTTCAAGATATCAAAGGCAGTCCACATTTATTCGGTGGATGTCATGTTATCTGTGTTGGAGATCTGTTTCAGTTGAAACTGGTATTTGATGGCTATATATTTGAAAATCTCGATAGTGCCTATGGGCCATTAGCGAGTAATATATGAAAAGATAATTTCTGCATGTATGAACTTACAGAAATTATGAGGTAAAAAGATGGCAAAGGCTTTGCTGAGCTATTGAATAGATTAAGAGAAGGCAATTATATATCTGAAGAAGAAAAATGTATTGATATCAACATTCTTAAATCAAGATTGTTGAAAGTTAATGAAAAGAGTGAGTATCCTTTTGCCATACAACATTTCTTTTTAAGTAACAAAAAGATGAAAAACTTTAATGATAAAGTTTTTCATAACATGGTGGGTGAAAAAATTGTAATTTTGACAAAAGATAGTATAGTTGGGTCTGCTTCGCAAGTTGTGGGCAAAGCTATACTAGAGAAAGTTCCGGAAGATCCGAGAAAAACCATGCAACTACATTCCACTTTAAGATTGGTAATTGGTTTGAAGTGTGAAATAGCTTTAAATGCTAGATTGGATGATGGGTTGACAAATGGGGCGTCTTGCGTAGTAAAAAAAATCCAGTCGAGCGCTTCTAGGTCTGCAAGTAGCACCATTGTCGTGGTCCAGTTGGAAAATCCAGATGTGGGGAAATTAACTAGAAAAGATTTTAAAAGTCATTGCAGTGCAGAAATTGATGCCTTGTGGACACCTATTCTGGCTGTTTCACGACAGTTTAGAATTGGGAATTACAAGAATGCTGAGGTAGTGAGAATGCAGATACCTTTGAGACCAGCTGCTGCTAAAACTGTTCACCAGTCACAAGGGGATACTTTAGAAAATGTGGTCGTTGATTTCGAAGGCAGGAAAACTCCACATATTCATTATGTTGGATTAAGCAGGGTGAAAACTATTGAAGGTTTACACATCATAAACCTGATTGATAAGAAAATATCAGTCAGTAATGATGTAAAAGTAGAAATGAACGAATTGCGTACAATACGTAAAGTCATGTGAAGAACGCGAGATTTAAGTTCTCTGAGCTCAGATAAAATAATTGTGGTTTATAACAAAGTTAGATCATTGCAGAAATATTTTGAAGATGTAAAAGCAAGTCTTTGTAAAATAAATGCATCTGTCGTCATACTGGCAGAGACAAGAGTAAAAGCAAGTATAAATTCAGATATTTATAACATACCTGGTTATACCTTGTATAGAAATGATGCTTGTAAAGAAAATAATGAAAAGCAATCATGGCATGGCTGTACATGTCAATGATCAAATGAAACTGGAAGGAGTTGTTGTTAAACCATTCAATATGAATGGTATTGAGATGAACGTTATAACGTTAAATATTGAAATTAGCAATATAAAGAAACTTGGGATATATGAACCCCCCTAAAGTGTCTGGAAGTCATTTTTGTTCAACTGTTAGAGATGTGAACAAAACATCAGATAAAACTGATTTCACTATAGTTCTTGGTGACTTCAATATTAAATTTGAAAAATTTAAGACCTCTAGGGTTGGGGAAATGTTGAAGGACATGAAGCAGTTGATTGATGAACCTACCACTGATTCAGATACAGTGATAGATTTGATATACACTGATGTGCCAAAAGATCATACAAGGTCTGGAGTTCAGGAAAATTACTTCTCAGACCACAAAGTGATCTATCTGATGATCAGTAATGAAAAATTTAGTAATGATGAGAATGATGTCGACAACAACATTCCTGTTGTCTGTAATGTTCGAAATGAAAATATATGGAAACCCCACAGTGTTAAGGAAATTAAAAAGGATTCTTTAGTGGACAAAAATATTCCCACAAAAAGAAATGAGAAAGACTGACATTCAAAATGAAATGTGGGTTGACGATGTAATAGTCAGAAAGTATGGCTATCAGATAACCAGAATAGATCTAGCAACTCTGGCTCCAAGACAGTGGCTAAATGATCAAATACATTAGTTGTACATACTCCACTGGTCGTATTACCATGGTCTTGGTGTGTATTATTGTAGAAAAATGCAATTTGGACAGCAGAAGATATCTTTTATTACTGTTGTCTGTTGTATTATTGGCAAAGATATTGTTAGATAAACTAATACCATGTATTAGTGTAGAAAATTTGGATAAAAGGCTAATACACTGGTTCCAGTGTATAAAGCAGAAGATATTATCTTTGGATACTCTTATGTATTTGACAGAGATATTGGAAGATAACTAATACCATGTGTTAATGTAGAGAAATTCCACAAATGGGTAAGCTAATTACTTTATAAAGATTTCATTTAATTTTTTGATTATGTAACTTTGAAAGTGGAGTATGAGAATAGTTTGTTTGAAATATAATTATGTAGTAAATATGTAATACTGTATGGTAATATTGTCAGAAATATTGGTTATGTACACACAAATTATGGCAACTATTGTATGTATTTTCAGGGCAAGCATAAAATATGTTTGTGTGTCTGTAGCTGTCACTAATGTCATCATAATTGGTTTTTAATGGTTTTATCGTTTATGGTATAGAAGATTGAGACATATTAACCAACATCTGTTTACTCCTTTTTCTCTTATCGTAAAATATATATACTGTATTATGTGTTTGTGGATTATATAAACTTATTTAAAACCCCTTTCTTTTTTTTTTTTAAATCAAAAAATCCTATTGTCCCGAACTATGCATGCTTTACTGACTGCTTTACCACACCATTGCAGGTGATGTAAGGAGTTGGTCTGCAACATGTATATAAAGCAGAAGATACCATATATTAGCATAAAGGGGGGTCAGGACAGCCAGTCCATTTTATACCAGGAAAGATTATATGCAAGAAATTAATTCAAATAAATGAATAAAAAAATCCTGTAAAACCCTGAAATTCACTTAAAACCATGTTACAAGTCAAGAACGTTCTTTCCAGATTGTCAACTCAAGTTTATTAGAAGTACAACATGATTAGTATTTCATGTAAAATGTCAAATCGCACATTTTGCTAAAGTAGAGCAAAACCCTTAGATTTCAATGAAAATTAAAATGTATGATTATAACCCAAAGATCTGGGTTCCTTTCGGTAGACCTACTTGTATGTATTGGACTGTCACTTCCTGGATTATGTCCCCTGTTTGTACGAAAAATCACTTTTTATACGCCCACATTATCATGTGGACATATATTGTCATCGCCCCTTGGATGTCCAGAGGTCCGTCCACAATTTGTTTGTGGACACTCTACAGGTCACAAATTTTATCTGATTTTGACGAAACTTGAAATATAGGTCTATCTCCTAAAGATCTTGGTTCCTTTCGATATTCGTGCTGATCGGACTGTACTTCTGGATTATGGCTCCAGATTGTACAAAAATCACTTTTGTTTTTAGCTTGTTCTCTATCCATCTTTTGCAAAATGTGGGCGTATCTTGCCTGGCAACCGCTGTTTTTTTATTTTCCAAAATTACAGTAGGGGCAAACAGAGGGAAGACCAGATTTAAGAGGGGGCAAATGCCCCCCCCCCCCCTTGACGCCACCACTGTCCCTGCCAGACACTCCGTCCTGTACCACTGTAAACGCCGGAAAATTCCCTATGAGCTTTCTCGGCCAACGAAGTGATCCAACACGAGACCTCAGTGTAGCAGGCCAACGTCTTACTCACTGAGTCACCGTGATTACCAGAAAAGTAGGACATTAAACCTCATTTCCAGAGTGATTCCTCTTTGACAGTGGTGCAGGACGGGGGTCTGGCAAGGGATAATGTATAGTCATTACATATAAAGGTAATAAGGTATATTTAATTTTTTTCAGGGAAATGGTAAACAATACATTACAGAACCAATGAAATCGATGGTAATTATACAGTAGACTTAATTTTCTCCTAATCATTTTCAGCTCTTTTTGTTTTTATGTGCTTACATTGAAATGTTGTTGTATTTTGGCATCACCCTTGTCTGTTGATCCACCTGGCGCAGGGCTGCCGACAACCAGTATCGCAGTGCAATTTGCAATACATATTTTGTCCGTTGCTAATCAAAAATTAAAATTAACTGCGAATCATTAATATGCCTGTAATTTTGGATATTGACACGAACATTTATTCATATTTTGAAAAGTAGAAGGCTTTCTCAACACTTTCAATATGTATAAAAAGTCAAATATAATTTAATAAACGAAACCGAAATCTCCGTGAGAGTTCTCAATTCTCAGTCCGGGACGACCGGAATTGACAGAATTGCAATCAAATAAGTGATACGGAATTCAGTCCTGTCACAGTTCTGTCAGTCCCGACAGCTGAGGTGCTGTAACAAATATGTTACAGCTGCCATGATTGGTTCAGATATTTTTTTATGCAGTCGGCACATAAGTTGTACTCCGAAATTTTCCTTTTCACTCGATTGACTCGATGTCACTCGTATGTCATTTTCTTTTCGAACTACCCAGACACAATTCATTATACTATATAATACAGGGATATAACTCTTTAACTCTATGATTAGGGACTATTAAACCAGAAATAGGGAATGAAGTAGTACCACTCATGTTGCAAGACATGTCAATTTCCATTGTATCTCCCACGTGTTGTAAATGAAATATATAAAAATAAATATATGTAAACGTGTTGTAAAATGAGAAATCAAAGTAAGAATTCCAGTAAAATATTATTGTTTATATCGCGTGTGTCTAGTTAATTGACTTTATTCGTTAATCTTCTCGTGTGTCCGATTGAACGAAAATGAAAAGCAGAAGCATTTGTTTTTATACACCCACATTTTCATGTGGACGTATATTGTCGTCGCCCCTGTCCGTCCGTCCGTCCACAATTGTTTGTAGACACTCTACAGGTCACAATTCTTATCCGATTTTGACGAAACTTGAAATATATGTTTATCCCCAAAAGATCTCGGTTGCTTTTGATATTGGCATGTATCTGACTGAAACTTCATTGATTATGGTCCCTGATTGTACGAAAAATCACGTTTTTATACGCCCACATTTTCATGTGGACGTATATTGTCGTCGCCCTTGTCCGTCCGTCTGTCCGTCCACAATTTGTTTGTGGACTCTCTATAGGTCACAATTCTTGTCCGATTTTGCTGAAACTTGAAATGTAAGTTTATAACACAAAGTTCTCAGTTCCTTTCGATATTCGCGCATATCGGATTGTAACTTCCTGAATTATGGCCCCTGATTGTACGAAAAAAAATCACGTTTTTAGCTTGTGGACCCTATAGAGATCATAATTTGTACGCGAATAGTGTAAAAATATGGTAAATCAAGGTTGTGGACCCTGTATAGGTCACAATTTTAATTTGATTTTGATGACACTTGAAATGCATGTTTATAACCTAAAGATCATGGTTCCTTTCGGTATTTCCTTATATCGGATAGTAACTTCCAGAATTATGGCCCCTGATTGTACGCAAAATCGCCTTTTTTTTACGCCCACATTGAAATGTGGACGTATATTGCCGTCGCCATGTGACTTAAGCGTGAAATCGGAAGCCATTGACTGACATTCAGCCGACTTTCAATCTGCGATTTTGGATTACTTTTTCATCTCATTATATTACTAGCAATAGTATTATAATAATTTGATATCGATCTCCATACATGCAGATAATCTGAATCAAAAGTTATCGAAATATAAGCGCAATTATCGTTTATGTACAGGAAACACTAGCGGGAAATTACCGCTCTGAAATCATGTTTCCAGGGATTTCCATTCACGCTATTACAGCCATAGACTACATGTTTAAATATTTTATATATTATCGTTCAAATTATTACGATTTTTATACGTTTTAGCTGGCAAATATTCAAGGATTTCAGTTTCAAAATTGTTACGAGCGATTCTATACTGTAAATGGACTCGTCTTCGGTATTTCGTCAATCTAATTTTGATATGATCCTTTATTTCTTCGAGTCCTGGGGAAACAATGTTCTTCAAGCGTAAAAAAAAAGATACATTATGATGTAGAATTCTATATAGGGACTCCTGGAATCTGGTAAATAACTCCTGGAAACTCCTGGAAAACTCTGGGAATTTTAAGTGTTCTGAGTTGTGCACACCCTGTCTAGAGTTATGGCCCTTGTTTCACTTTATTGATCCTTGTGAACGCTCTAACGTCAAAAGTTATCATTCGATCTTTCTGAAAATTATATGCCTTATTTAAATTAGTGAGACGAAGAAGCCTATTGAATTTCAGCCATTTTAATTTATTACGTCTAGAGTTATGGCCCTTGTTTCACTTTATTGAACCTTGTGAACGCTCCAACGCCAAAATTTATCACCCAATCTTTGTGAAATTTATATGCATTATTTAGATTAGTGAAACTAAGAAGCCTATTGAAGCAATTTCCGTTTATTATGTCTAGAGTTATGGCCCCTATTTCACTTTATTGATCCTTGTGAACGCCCTAACGCCAAAAGTTATGATCCGATCTTTGAAATTTATATGCATGATTTAAATTAGTGAAACGAAGAATCCTATTGAATTTCAGCAATTTACAATAGTTGATTCTAGAGTTATTGCCCTTGTTTCACTTTGTTAAACCTTGTTAATGCTCGATTGATGAAAGTTATCATCCTATATGTATGAAATTTGTATGCATCATTTAAATTACTGAAACAGGTCTATTGAATTTCAGCAATTTCCGTCAATAATTTCTAGAGTTATGGCGATTGTGAACGTTTGAATGACAAAAGTGATCATGTGATCTGTATAAAATTTATATGCATTATTTAAATTAGTAAAATGAAAAAGCCTGTCAAATTTCAACAATTTCTGTAGATTACTTCCAGAGTTGAGACCCTTGTTTCAGTTTGTAGAACCTTGTAAACCCTCAAACAACAAAATTTATAAACTGATCTGTATGGAACTCTCTTGTAATTAAGGCCCCCAATTATACCTACAAAGGAATAAATCTTTTAGCTTGTGGTCCCTCTGGAGGTCACAATTATTATCCGATTTAAAAAAAACGTTTGATTATATCACCGTTACATCGTAAGGAAGGTTGAGTTTGAATTTCGTGAAAATCGGACCAAAATTGCCAGACAAAATGGCCTCCGCTTGTACGCGAATAGTGTCAAAAAATGGTATATCAAGGTTGTGGACCCTGTAGAGGTCGCAATTTTAATTTGATTTTGATGAAACTTGAAATGCATGTTTATAACCTAAAGATCTTGGTTCCTTTCGATATTGTCGCATATCGGATCGTAACTTCCTGAATTATGGCCCCTGATTATACGAAAAATCACCTTTTTATACGCCCACATTGAAATGCGGTCGTATATTGTCGTTGCCCCCGTCCGTCCGTCGACGGACGCTCTAGAGGCTAAAGTTAATATCCAATTAACTTTAAATTTATACACAGTGTTTAAGGTCATGAGACGAAGAATCCTATTGATTTTCAGCGATTTCCGATAATTACTGCCAGCTAGAGGTATGGACCTTGATCACCTCAAAAAATCTTGTGGACGCTCTAAAGGCCAAAGTTAATATCCAATTAACTTTAAATTTATACACAGTGTTTAAGGTCATGAGACGAAGAATCCTATTGATTTTCAGCGATTTCCGATAATTACTGCCAGAGTTATGGCTCTTGATCACTTTGAAAAATCTTGTGGATGCTCTAGAGGCTAAAGTTAATATCCGATTGACTTTAAATTTATACACAGTGTTTAAGGTCATGAGACGAAGAAGCCTATTGATTTTCAGCGATTTCCTATAATTACTGCCAGAGTTATGGCCCTTGATCACTTTGAAAAATCTTGTGGACGCTCTAGAGGTCAAAGTTAATATCCAATTGATTTTAAATTTATACACAGTGTTTAAGGTCATGAGACGAAGACGTCTATTCACTTTCAGGGATTTTTAATAATTACTTCCAGAGTTATGGCCCTTGATCACTTCAAAAATCTTGTGGATGCTCTAGAGGCCAAAGTTAATATCCGATTGACTTTAAATTTATACACAGTGTTTACGGTCATAAAACGAAGAAGAGTATTAATTTTTAGCAATTTCCGATAATTACTGCCCTTGATCACTTCAAAAAATCTTGTGGATGCTCTGGAGGCTAAATTTAATATCCGATTGACTTTAAATTTATACACAATGTTTGAGGTCATGAGACAAAGAATCCTATTGATTTTCAACGATTTCCGATAATTACTGCCAAACTTATGGCCCTTGATCACTTTGAAAAAACTTGTCACGCTCTAGAGGCTAAAGTTATCATCCGATTGACTTCAGATTGATAATTACTTCATGAGTTGTTATCTTAATCAGATTTTAGTGTATTATAAATGTTTCATTACCCAAAAAAGTAAAAAATATGCGACAACACTTGTTGACTGCCCGGACGATTTAGCTGCTGTGGGCGTATGTTTCGTTGCCTGGCAACCTATCTTTTAGCTTGTGGTCCCTCTGAAGGTCACAGTTATTATCTGATTTTAAAAATTGTTTGAATATATCACTGTAACACCATAATAAAGATGGAGTTCAATTTTCCTGAAAATCAAACCAAAACTGCCGGACAAAATGGCCGCTGCTTGTACGCGAAAGGTGTAAAAATATGGTATATCAAGGTTTTGGACCCTGTACAGGTCACAATTTTAATCCGACTTTGATGAAACTTGAAATGCATGTTTATAACCCAAAGATCTTGGTTCCTTTCGATATTTGCGCATATCGAATTGTAACTTCATGAATTATGGCCCTTGATTTTAGCTTGTTCTCTATCCATCTCTCGAAAATAGATCACCTTTAAACCGTAATGTTTATTGAGTTCGAATTTTGTGAAAATCGGGCCGCCCCTCGTATGCAAATAGTGTATAGCATCTGGTATAT